ATCACAATACATTATGTAACCAATACTACAAAGTTAGTAATTTCTTACTAAAGTTAGTAAACATTTAGTAAGAAATTAGGTAAACCAATCAATAAATGATTGCACACCTGAGCATCTTCAACTGGCGCTTGAAGTAATTGACGGAAGTTTTCATGATCGGGTAAATCTTGATAGCCGGCCTTCTTCCAGCTATCTATAGTCTTAAAAGAATGGTATATGCCACCAATTAAAATAATACAGTTAAATGTACCTCTCCATGATAAATGAGTATTAAGAAGAAAGTGTCTAAGAGAAGTATTCTATCAGGAAGGATACTGGATGAGTCCAGAAGGACAGGCTACATAGAGTATTAAACAACAATAGATAAGTTTGTTCATAAACGCATCAAGTCTAACATACTTCAGGGACTCCATTGAAAGAATAAGAGTAAAGAGTCGGTTGTATCATTATCAATGAGTTGGTCACGTCTTCTCTGTTCAACTTATCCCTGTGTCACAGAGCAAGTGAGTGGATATACTAATAACAAACGATATTCTACCTGTAGTAGGAGCTCTCATCAGGGCTGCAATTGAATACTTGTAAAAACTGGGACCTTCTCAAATGAAACATGAACTGCAAAAAAGCCAGCAACATACACATACATAATACAGTAAGTATGGTAGGATATACCTGAGGATAAAGTGACATGTTGTCAGCAAATCTAAAGGAGCTTGGGTCATCTTTATGATACTCACCAAATTTCTGACACTAGAGAATTAAGAAACTCAACATTATCCATGTACAATGTAATAAAGCAATTGAAGGCTGGAGGGCACTTTAGTGTAAACATTAGAAACAGATGTCCAATATTATTATTGTTCAACAAAGCATTCAACAGATAACTGTAATTGTTAAACTACAACTACTCAGTGCCAACCCCACACAATTATGAGTAAAAAAGCAAATCTTAATAGTACCACAGACAATGATTTAACAATAGGGAGTCTGAATGACATCTGTCTCTATTCACCATAATTCCACCTTTATTCACCATAATTATATTACAGTACTGCCAGCCAACACTTCCTTCATCATGATAGCAATGCATGTACTACACAATTTTAGTTTCTCTCATGAAACTTACCAAACGAATGAGCATTCTATCAAGCCATCTTAAGACATCAGGGCCATCATCAATGTCAGATCTAGCAATGATAATAAAATTATATATAAAGACTGCTAAATGCATCATTACTTTTGAACAGCAAGACGTGCCATTACACCAGCAGCTGTCTCTTGATCAAATCCGCCAGAAACATGACTCAGGTTAGTAGCTGCATCAGCCCAACTGAACAAAAGAAAATTGTATGCGTATATATTCCCCAGGACAAATTTAATATGATGTTTTTAGGCCATAAAAATACATCAGCATAATTATTTTTATTATAACTATAAGTATTAATATTAAAACTGAATGAAATTCCATGAAAAACCACAACCACAGGTAAGTCGAATAACTTACTGCCTGGCAATGGTGGTGACCCTGACTCTCTTTTGACCGGACGAGTGTTGGTAAAATGTTATAAATTGCATTGCCCCTGGTTGTCCTTGTGGTATATTGCCGGCCTGTTGATTGCATACCTCAAAGAACACAGCAACAGAAGTAGAGGGATCAATACCGGGGATCTTCCAAGCAGCTGTACCGCCCACACCAATTTCCTATTCATGATTAAAAAATAATTCCTCCCCTTTCTAATAATTAAATGCAGCTTACATTATCGGATACATTCTGAGATCTCTTATTCAATGATATGCATGGACCAATAATACCATTAACTTTCAATTCTTTGGAGCACTATAGTACATTAAAATATGAGCAATCTCATTACCTCCAATGTACATATTGATCTTACCTTCACTTCAAGGGATGCATTGAAGCCCATCCTAAAATGATTGTTCTGTGCATCTTTTGCAAAGACTTTCTGAAACGTTTGCTTGAATAGCGAGGTATTGAAGGAATCTCCCATGACCATGTAACCGCTAATTAGTAAATAATGAAATAAAATTAATGTTACATAATAGGAGTAAAAGTACCAGTGGGATCACTGCATGTACCATTAACTAAGCAAATATTGAAGCTCTTTTTAATGCAAAGAGAGGTCTCGCTCTTACCCTGTGTATTTTGAGAAGTATCTCATCTCATTGAGGCCTGGTTGATCCAAAGCACAAGAGTATATATCAATGATGTGACCATTCTCTGCTGCTCTCTTAGCCAAACCATCATAATGCTACAAATCAAAAGAAGATAATACATTTAAGCAGATGTCATCATATCAATTCATAGACACATACATGTTTCCAACAAATAATTTTCAAGTCATGAACATTTGTAAAACAAGCCATTTTTTTGAAAAAAAAAGCAAAAGCTACAGCTCATGCTTTTTTCCAAAAAATGGCTCCTAAATCATCCCAAATTTTATCATATTTTCTGATGGCACATTGATGTACTTATCCTATGTAGAAACTTTGAGCTGTTTTTGACAAAGAATTTTCGAGTTACAATCATTTTTAATTTTTAAAAAACAGCAAAGGCTATAGCCTATGGTTTTTTCCAAAAATTGCTCCAAAATCACTTCCAATTTTTATTACATTAAAAAAATACATATCAATCTCTTTGTCCTTTGCATAAAGTTTAGGACCATTCCAATTAAAATTTTGGGGATTATGGCCATGCATGATGCATTGGTACTAACCTTGCATGCTTTCTTATGATATTTACAAGCGTCCTTCTCCAAGTCATGATGAGACCTAATGGGATCCTTAAGAGACTCACCAACAATCATACCAGGCCCTTGGGTACAGGGCCCCCCAATAAAGAGCATAACACGTGCACCAGCATTAGGAAAAGTAGCCTAATATTAAATATTAACAATATCATGATACATCCCTAGTAATAGCATGTACTATACTATATAGTACCTCTAGCAGGCTAACAGCTACAGAAAGAGCAACTCCAGTGGCTCTCAGTGGGCGGTTTCCTTGCTGGACTGTCCATGGGTCACGCTGTATGTCACCAATGAGGTCAGTCAGGTTCATATCAACATTCTGCAATGGCTGGAGAAACCTAAACAGGAACAAGAAGAATGAGCCCAAGCTACATGACTATACCCATATTATAACACTTGTGTAGATGGGACTAATAGCTTCTTATTATAATCACATTCTCAATGTGTCTAATTGATATTCTAGTCAAACCTGTTTTGTACTTGTCCAGGAGCGGGTCCTGCTGGATTAGCTGCTGGTGCTGGAGCTCGTGATCCTCCTCCTCCTCCTAGCCCCAGCTGCTCCTGGAGTTGCTTTGGTGAGACGTCTTTAGTGCCACGAAACACGTAGCACTTTGAATAACCGTCACAACCTAACTCGTGCAATTGGACCTGATAAAAAATAAATAAATATAAATAAATAAACATTAATAAAATTTATATAATACATAATTAATGAACCATACAGTAGTTCATTACGAGTACATTTTTTATGTCTTTATCTCTTCATTGTCTTACCATGCGTCCAAATGTAATGAGTCCAACCAGTGCATTGGGAGGAATGAGACTAAGAGACATTTGAAGTGACTCCTATCAATAGAATAATGTGTATATCATACAAGAGTATCTTTAACAAATGTAGATGTACATACTTTTAATGGCTGGAGATCTTCATAGTCTTGACAAGTGTCAACAACAAATAAAAAAATGGTAGGAGCCAACGCAGCTCTCTAGAAAGGGACACATCACAATGAAAATAAGAATAATGTGATAATGGCAATAATGATGTACTTGAAGATGGTATTCTATGGTAGAGAAATGAGATATAAGCTCTGCTGGTTGATTGGATTCTGATATGGCGGCATAATGTTGAGGAAACTGAATGAAACCAAACAAAAATGATAGAAATAATGACACCAATTTGAATATACTAAAGCTCACGGTATTCCTCTGATAACAGAAATTACATATCCAGCTTTTACTGCGATAGTCCACTTGACTATAGAGAAGATACAAATACGTGAAATGATGTCAAAATTTATCGGAAAGTAGCTTTTGGAATAAGATAATTGTACTATCTTACCAAAGTGGATTCAGGACTGCCCTACACTGAGAGCGTCCACACAATACTGGCTCATACTGGGCAGGAGGTAGCTCTGGTCTCTCCTTCAATGGAGTAATCATAGCAGCCATGGGAACTACCTTTATATCAAAAAAAGGAAAAATATAGTTTAATACCATGACACATGTAGCGTGACTTTTATTGAACTTTATAAGTACATGCTATATTTATATCAGTTTTAATTGTTACTAATTAGTTTCTAATTAGTGCCCCAATAAAAAGTGGTTAAAAACTTAACATATTATGTATTATCAGCACAATAATTACAGTACATACAATATAGGTAACAATGAATGTCTGTGTGTGTGTGTTTGGCCAAGTGTGTGTCATACCAGCTTTGCTGCTTCAATCCTAGTAGATGGCCAAACATTCCATGTAAGACGAACACCATCTCTGTCTTCATTTTGTTGGATAAAATCAGCCCAAGTCGACATTATTCTTACTATTCTAAAGTAAAGAGAGAAGATATGTACACAGAAGAAGAGGGAACAAAGACTTTTAATTTTAGCAGTATACTTGTGACGTCATATCAAACACGTAGGCATCACGTGATGAACAAAAGGACACGTGGAACAACGTGGCATAGAAAAGGAGTGGTTTAAAATTAAACCCCTCCTACAATATGGGAGTGGTTTAATTTTAAGACCACTCCTTTTGAAATTAAAAAGGAGCCACGTGCTTCCACGTGGGCTTAAACTCTCACGTGATTTTAATGAGTCCACCATCTTTGGGTTATGTCTAATTCTGAAGATCATCTCTCAGAGAGAGCTGGAGGGAGCAGCTCCTCAGATCCTCTCTCATCCCATCCTTCTGATCTCAGTCTTCCCAGCGCTCACTCTTTTCATGAGTTAAATTTCTTTCCTCTTGCCAGTCATAGCAGTACTTACGGTCTCGTCTCAATTAATGTAGGCGGGGTCAACAAGTTGCTAGTGGCGACAGTCAGTGGAGAGATTTATCGGTTGGAAATGGATCGAAAAACTTTGCAATCGTCTTGGAAGCAAATTACCTTCTCGTATATACCTGGTGAATTATATTTGTTTTAATCTTGTACATGTAAGTATTTTATTTTTTAATTAGCCGTAGCTGAAATTATTTCATTGGATGCATTTGTTATTGATCCTAATGGTGTGGTCGTGGGAGTGACTCTAATTAAGGTACGCCCATAATGTTATAATGTGCACCGTGTATAGACTGGGTTTCCCATAGGCTTTTGGCATAGTGCTCATGCAGATTCTCGTATAGGCATAATTCATTAATATTCATATTAAACTTATTAATAATAGTTAAATAGTTGTAATAAAATGGTTAAATAGTATACATGTACCACACCCACAAAATCATTGTCTAGCACCTTGCAGGCTATGTATACTGTCAATCACACTAGGAATTGCCCAGCTAGGAGCAACAGACCCCCACTATATGGTAGTTTATCAATCAATAAAATCATTTTTTTTTTACCAGCCTTCCAAACCTAAAGATGTCTATTTTAACATTTACGGTCTTCACTGTGACCCGAACTCTAGTCTCAATTGGGAGCAAATAGCTGGTACACTACTATACACATAGATTATATGATTAAAACCACTCTCTCGTCTCATAGAGGACTGGACTCCAGTGTCCTTACAGTTCATCCCTTACAAGTTACTCCACACAGAGTAACGGCACACTTTGTACATGCATGACAGTATCCTGTTCTTTTACTGTAGGATATATAATAAGGATTCTTGGGACTTCGTATTCCTTCTTCCTGGAAACGACCTCAATGTTCATATCTATCCCAAACAAGTGATGAACTCTTATTCTAATGGTAAATAATTAGGATACTAATTATGGCAGGTGTTATTTGAGGAAGAGGATAGCCTCTTGAGGTTTCCTGAGTTCAAAGACCTGAGGAGTAACATCACTGATGTTGTGATGGACACAAACAAGCTTGAATTTAAGCGCATCACTGCCTTTGGTTGCCAAAACGGATATATTAGATGCTCTTTTGTTGATGCATTAAATAATAGTAAGGATTTTTATGTGAGTCTATTACTGTAGCAATATTGGTACCGGTATGTAATACTTATTTGAATGTAATATTTATGGCATGGAGCAATTTTACGTATTTTTAAAACTAGCTCTTCTTAAGTTTGTTGATACTAACAGTCTTGATGGCCCAATGACATCGGTTAATTTATTATCGTCCTCTTTTGAAAACTTGCACCTGGTGGCCACCTCAGCAATCCAGCCTGCTGTTGTCTATAAGTGAGTTATTATTATTATTATTATTATTTATTTATTATTTTATCCTTAGAAATGTGTTTGGCGGAGAGACAATGGATGATTACATTGTTCTAGATCACTCTGATAAATTTGACAGCATAATCTGTTCATCGCTGGGAGACATTACATGTAATGGGTACAAGGAGCTGGTGATTGGCACATATGGGAAAGTAAGCTTTAGTTGAATATCCTGTAGCACATACTTTTGCTCACATTAAGAGCTCATGTATGACCAGTTATCATATTTGAAACACTTATTAGTGCCTTTAATATGCAAACACAGAAAGTCTTAATGTATGATGTCATATCCTTAGCATATCGGTAATCTAATCTGTAATTTGTATAATCTTTTGTAGATGATACTTGTGTATGGTTTTCAGAATCAAAAAGGTAGGGCTAGAAAAGTATGTTTGTTTATGATTTTTGAGAATGTATATTTTATGCACTTCAGAATGTATAATTTTATGTACTTGTTATGAATAGCTTGTACAGTGCACTACTGATATTCAAGTGCTCACTGTAGCTTTTTACAAGGTATTTTTACATTATGCAGACTTGCCTCAAGCTGAGCTCTTATGGAAGAGAGGTTTAGCCCATCCGGTACTATCAGTCACCATGTGTGATGTAACTGGTGATGGGTTGGATGAGATTATCATTCTCTCTACTGCTGGTGTTCACATATTGCAGGTTAGTGCAATACTGCTATTTATTAATACAATTTACTATAATGCTAATGATTCTAATTTAAATTGTAGTTAGTTCTGGATCTTTTTACTATTAATAATATTTTTTTATTTTTTTATGCCTAGCACGACTTGGATCAAGTTTGTACTTTATTTGTTACAAAACTAATAGAAATTATTGGACACAATCAGTATAATGGATCCCGTGAAGCAAATTGAGGTTTATAAAATTATTTTCATTTCATTCCATCAATTCATTGAAATTTTATACATAAATTTATTGGTAACAAATAATATTATAGCTAAGAGATTAAATATTAGTGAATGATTGCATGAAGACACTTAAGTAATAATGTTTGTGTCTGTCTCTAAGTCACATGTCCTGATCACGAATATCTTTCATCGCCACTTGCATTAGAAGCAGAGGAAAATAATCCTTTTAACACTGCGAGCTCTTTTTGAAGGAGAGCAACATAGTTTTTCAACTTTGCGTTATTTTCTTCAAGCTCTTGTACTCTTTTCTCTGTCTCCAGCACTCTCTTTCTAAACTTACTTCTGCTCTTTCTAACTGCGATATTGTTCCTGTGCCTCTTGTCCTTATAGTCATCAGTGCACTTGTCATTAATCTTCTGCTTTTTTGTCGTTTGCCGGGTCCTGGCTGCTGTGTCTTGAACTGTGGGAGGAGGAGAAGGAGCAGAGAGACTGGATGCTACAGGCGGTAGTGTTGGGTTAGCGGAAACGTTTGTTACATCATGAGGATTAGAAGTGGTTCCTACTCCTACAAGTGTAGATGTCTCCTCTTCACTGCGAATCGGCATCCCGGGAGGTTTCTGTTGATACCAATAGCCAGATGAGTAATAGTCGTTAGTAGTTTGACTGTAGTAGTCCTTTTGCTCACAGGCTTTCACTAATTCAGAGAAGTCCACAGACTCTTCTTCCAGCTGAAATCCGAGGTGAACTGATGAAGGTGGGGCTTGGCCAAATGGATATAAATTTCCTGAGGTTGCTTTTGCAGAAGCAGCTAAGCCCAAGTATTGCTCAATGCTGTATAGACTGTCTTTGTCTGCCATATAATTATAGTCCTTGCAGGCTTGCACCTTGAAGTGAGAGAATTACGAAATTTTCTTGCTTAATTTTGATTATTTCTTCTGCTGATGCAACCTTTTTATTTTAATTAATGTGACATAGATCTAACGTCATTTGCACATCATCTCTATTCTAATAATAGAAATTGAACTGCGCATGCGCATTGGAATGGGCGTTGTCTCACGTTAATTAATTATCACCTGACCAATAAAGAGTTGACTGATTTCAGGCTTTTGGAATGGAAGTCCATTATTTGCTGGTTTTGCTCTCACTTTCAGGCCTCCTGTCATTTGCAGTAGCTGTTGAAGGTATGAGAGGAGAGAATTGTTGTGTATGTTGCGTATGCATGTATTTTTTTAGTGAATGCAGCCACAGTAGAGCAATATCACTAGCTGTTTTTTTGCAATTGTGAATGGCATTGATAGTGGATGTATTCATGCATGAATAATGCCCCTATTGTTTATTGTGAGCTACTGATGTCTTCTATTGCTATTGTTTATTGTGACTTGCTGCTGTTGCAGCTAGCGTATTGGTTTGCATAGTATTTTCACAATAGCATGTGACAATTGTGTTATGATTGTAATCATTTTACTGGACTTGCATCGTTGCATCGTAGTAATGAATTCATTTAGTAGAAACTGAATTACCATACATGTACATGCACTGGGTGTAACTAATAATAGCTTTTACTACAAAAGACTCTACATGTTTTTATCATTAAGATGGCTATGAAGAGAGACTAAGAGAAGCTCTTAAGAAAGCACAGGAACAGGTCAATGCTAGTAATGCTACACTTGGTGCCACTTGCTATAAAGTATGTACGATGGTAATATAATTCTTATTTATCAATGTTTCTTCATTTGTCAGAGATTTGGGCACAATTTTGACTGTGAGCTATTTCCTCATGACAAAAAGGAGCCAGCAACTGGTGAGTTTTTGTTTTTAGCTTTAAAACACTTTCTAATTTTTATGTATATAGTCCACGAGTTGACTCCTTATGATATCAGCTATATTGGTGCTCTTGGAGATTCCATAACAGTACGTGCATGCATGCATGTACACATGAATTAATGTATCCTGTAGGCTGCAATGGGCTCTGCTGCTTGCACTGTCCTTGATGATTTGATAAGCTATCGTGGACAGTCATGGACGTATGTTAACATTTTCATTTATTCATTATTTAATATTGCTCTCTTTTTGCAGTATTGGTGGGCGCTTGGATTTGAAAAAAATCACTTCCATTCCAAGTACACTATTGACCTGTTCTTAGCCTTGATGCTATAGTATTGTGTAGATATTCTTCGCAAGTATAATCCTAACTTAAAGGGTTTCTCTACTGGGAATGGTGGACCAAACTCTGGGAATGCAAAGAACAATGTAGCGGTCATAGGAGCCATAGCTCAGTAAGTCTATAATATAGCAAAGGATTATCTATTTGTGTTCTTTAGAGATATGCCTGACCAAGCTAAAGAACTAGTTAAGCGTATGAAAGAGAGCATGGTAAGTATCTTTATTTGGTGTATTACTGTATGTATTATTCATTGAAACATTTTTGATAGAGTGAGGATGACTTCAATAACAAGTGGAAGCTTGTCTCTTTGTGGATTGGTGGCAACAACCTCTGTTCTTACTGCAAAAAAGTATGTCCTCCATAAGTAACACTACTATGGTCATATTCATGTAGAGAGAAAAACATTCTCCTGAGAACTATGTCAATAGCATCACCGCAGCACTTGATATTTTAAAGGAAGAGGTATGTCAATTGTCAACAATATGCTCATCTATCCTCATCCTTGTGTGATGTATAGCTTCCAAGGACTTTTGTTAACCTCATCCAAATTATTGATGTGACTCGCTTGGAGCCTCTAAAAGGACCCATCTGTGATCTTGTTCACTATGCTGTATGTGAATGCACACTAAAAGATTTAGAGGAAACCAGTAGAGCATCAACTGAATATCAAGTATGCACATGTTTATGGACTGATGGCATATTAAACATTAACGTGACTATTGCAGGAAGGCCTTGCTGATCTTGTCAACTCTGGTCGCTATGATGACAGAGATGACTTCACAGTTGTGTTGCAGCCATTTATGGAAGGAGTGGAGCTACCAAGATTAGATGTACTATACAACTTTTATTTACTGATTGATTATCCATTTTTAGAACGGCAAGCCTGATTTTAGCTATTTTGCGCCCGACTGCTTTCATTTTAGTAGCAAGGGGCACATGGAAGGGGCAATTGCACTGTGGAAGAATATGGTGATTTTAATGTACAAAGTGATAACTCATTTCTTTTATTTTAGTTTGAACCAGTTGGCAGCAAGACCTCAGGCTGGGATCTACCTGGAAAACTGTACTGTCCAACAGAGGTAATCACAGGTTACACTTATTATTAATATGCACTTAATTGACTTAAGCTAACTATGCAAATAAATGATGTTTCAGATTTCCTCTTAGTCTCTGGGTTTTTTTAAGTTTTAGAATATCTTTATCAATTAGGATAACAAGTACTTATTTACTAAGAAGAATAGTCCTCCACCTTCATTATTTGGTCAGTCAGGAACTGAGCAGTCTGCTGGTGTTACTACTGAAGGTGATAAAGCTACACACTCCGCTTCAATTGCTGTCAGTGCAAGCATTGGTGCTGTGTCTTTGCTTGTTGTTGTAATAATTGTAATAGTTATTGCTTTTAAACTACGCAATAAAAGAAGAGCAAGAGGAATTGGAGAGCAAATACCGTTGTTTAGCAATAACTGAATTTGATTTTTACTCTATATTTTTGCGTGTGTTCATAATTTTTATTATTGCTTTTTTAATAAATCTAATTGTGTTAATGTTATAATTATTTATAAACGTTGTTCATATACACAGAAAATAGTGCAATAATTAGTCATGCTTTAAAATGCTCTGTGTTGATCTGTCGTTTATAACCATTCTTCTGAACGTGAGATTAATCCTTACATCTCGTACACCTTTCCTGACAGGCAGTGAGTGGTACCACTCTCTATTTGTAGGAGACCTCATTAATAGGAGGCTTCCGCTCAAGAGGTTTATCTTTACAGGACTAATGTCTTTCCTCTTGGCATTTTTACCTCGAGACTGACTGTGACGGAATACGAAATCTCTCTCGGCTCCAAAAGAGAGAGAAGCAATCATCCCAAGCGGATCTAATTCTCTCTCATCATCACGATGCTCTCCTATGTGGTCGTCCCCGTTTTTGTACCGGTTAACAAGGACAAAGTTAAATTTGTCTCCGCTTGCCCACTCCACAGCACTTTTCAATGAACTAATTATTGGTATCCAAGCATTACTATTGAGGCTAATCCCAGAGAAGGAATATTTTAAACCTTTATCACCAAATGCAGTCTGCTGCCTTGGTATGGGTATAGTTTTGCCTCCAATCTTCACAATATTAGGACTTTGATCAAAGTAAGGAGCGAGGGTCTCTTCCAGCTGCTTTAGAACTGTTTTAGAATCTCCTAGACTCATGAAGCTAGGATAATAGAGTACGTTGAGTCCAACTTCTGGTCTTTCCAATCTAGTGATAACATCAGTACAAAGATGGAAGGACTCTCCTGAACTGCTGGTAAAGTCACGTCTCTTTCTTGCTGGTTCGAGATCTTTAACATCAGCATCACTTTCATCATTCCTCTTTCTTTTTAGTACAAAAGTGTCCATTTTGTCAATACAGCCACACCTTTTATCCAGCAAATTTTAATTTGTGCGCGTCAGGCTTCGTAGCGGTGACGGCAAAGGCAAAAAAACACTGCTTAAAAGTTTTGTCTGGGTTATCTTTTCTACATTTTGAGTGCTGTGCCTAGTCTTTAGTCAAAACTAGTCCTTCAGTGCTAGAATCATGGCGGACATTGACGAAGAAGTGACAGCTGAAACATCCCCCGCACAGGAGCCCGTCCTGGAAGAGCAGCAGGGGCAGCCATCCACAACCACTTCTGTTTCAGCTCAAAACGATGAACCTGCTCAAGGTGTGATAATTTTAAATAGAGATGCCTTTTCCAGCCTACTATGAGGGCTTGTATGTCTACACAGTATTTATAGTAACAGTATGGGCTTGTTAAATGGTTTCAATTTCTATGAACAATTATTATATTGTAGATAGTTATTCTGCCTGCCTTTCTCCCCTCACTATACCTTTCTCCCCTCACTATACCTTTCTCCCCTCACTATTCTTTTTCTTGTATGCTTCATCTAAGATACTGTGCAAAGATGTACAGTATATATACATACAATTCTATCGGGGAAATTAAATTTGCAGCGCCTGATAATTTACTCAAAACATGAGTAGCAGTTCTCAAGTGTGAAAATTAAAGCTCAGTGAATTGAATCAATAGCATTAGCACTCAATGAAAGGACTATCAAACGCACACAGAAAGACAGAGGTGCATGTTCTCTATGTACACTTGGTAGTAGCTTCACCCTCTTGTAAATACTGTTGGTTCTGATTGTCATCATTTTATTAGCATGGACCAGTATATATATATAAATGCCTGGTATTCGCTCAGGAAAATGTTATTCTTTCATTTTGTGTTATTTTTCTAAAGGAGAAGAATCTAGTGAGCCTAAGCCTCCTGCACAAGAAGAGAGTGCCCCAGAGCCAGGGCCTGATGAGATAAAGAAAGATGCTGTCCCTCCATCAATATGTAAGCATGCTAATTGATGTATACTTTTCTGTTACTCATTGTGTATTCATTTTATTAAAATAATATTTATTTTTCAGCTGGTAATCATCTTAAGCAACTGCTGGTCGGAACTTTGCTTCATAAAGCAAAGAAAGGTTCCAAGACTCTCCCAAGGCTGTACAATATTTCTACCGATCTTGTGAGACTCGTGTGGAACTCTAAGAGAAAACCAGTTGCTAAGGCACAAAGTATGTCGTATGATTATTCAGCTTTGTTTATAACATATGTGAACAAGTCACTTAGTTTATCATAACTACTACCGTATGGTTCAAAAGCTGTGTTAATTTCACTGTTGGTGAAGAGTTTGTGATTAGTTGTTTGGGTATGTTGTATGGCATCTTCACACGGCAACATTCGTTTGTGGTCAGTTACATCACACTGATGATTGGGTCTGTGTACCCTAAAGAATGCAATTAAATTAATCAGACACCACTCTACAGATAATTATTTCAAAGTGTCATTAAGGAGGAATATTGTTATAAACATGTTCATTAAAGACACACTAAGGAGATGCGTGAAGTTCTAATAGCATTATATGCATAAATGTATACCTTGTGAGGTGTCATTAGGGCTGCATTCCTCACTGCTTATCAACTTGTACTCACTATAATTCACACCAATTGATTGCACAGTGATAACATGAGCCACTCACCTTTTCATATGCTTAATGATGCTTGTATTTTTCTGTATAATTATTGCATAGAGTGTTTGTTATAATACTAGCTGCATGTTTATACAATCGTTGTTATAATAATAAACATACATGTCCATTGAAGTGTTAATAGACGTATTATTGTGTAGACTCAACGTATAATAATAATAGAACAATTGCTTTCTATATGCCACCTTCTCTCTCTCTTTCTTCCCCAATCTCTCAGTTCCTCTATCTCAAATCCAAGAAGTCCTCAGAGGCAGAAGTACTGATTCATTCAAGCTCCATCAAACCACCTCTGACGAGAATTGTTGTTTTTCAATACGCTATAACGAAGGGCCCAGTGCCAAGACACTCGACCTTATTGCTGCTACGCCAGATGAAGCTGATTTGTGGATCAACGGATTACTAGCACTAACTTTCTCAGGTGTGTGTGCACACATACACTGATAACACCATGCATGTATTGTACACATGACAGCAGCAAGAATGAAAAATATTATATACTTGTACATGTAATAGAAGTACACAGTGTTTGTTATTAGTAATTGTATCTTGTTCTCACCTACCACTGATATGCAAACAAAATTATCTAATTATATTATTATATTATGCTTCTTATGAACGTGTCTGTATACACTATAGGTGTGTCCCAAAGCACTAGTGATGTAAGAAAAAGGTTAGTTCCAATTCCTTATTGTTGCTTTTGGTTGTCATGGCTGCTCCTATTAATGTATGGACATTGACTGTAGGTGGCTGAGAGCTTTGTTTGATGAAAGTGATGAGAATGGCGATGGAGACTTGAGCCTTAGAGAAATTGTTAACATGATGAAGAGACTTAACGTTGGAATATCTACTAAAATAATCAGGAAAATGTTTAAAGTTAGCGAGGGAGGGAATTGAGAGAAAGACGGGGTCAGAGTTTCCCACAGGATTTGGGAGCTGCTAAAAACTGGCTAAAGATCCTTATAATAGCACATAGTATTCTGAAAAAATCATAAGGAAAGAATTCTACATTTTTATAATGTTTTTTTGAAATATATACTTGCTTTTATGTTGTATAGCGAGTTTAAACTGATTCCGATCGAATTCGGTTTTTTAATAAATTTTTAAAATTACTCCAAAATCAGGCCAAAGTCCCTGTACTATAGTACAGGGTCTTCAGCCAAATTTTACCAAAAATTAAAAAAAGAGGATTTTTCATTTTTATAATTTTTTCTGATGCATATACATGTTCTTATGTTGTGTAGAAAGTTTGAGCTGATTCCGATCAAATTTGGATTTTTTATGAATTTTTAAAGTTACTCCAAAATTGGCCCAAAGTCCCTGTACTATAGTACAGGGTGTGTGGCCAAATTTCACAAAAAATGAAAAAGAAAAAATTCTCAATTTTATAATTTTTTCTGATGCATTTACATGTATTTATGTTGTATATCAAGTTTGAGCTGATTCCAATCAAATTTTAATTTCTTATGAATTTTAAAGTTGCCCAAAATACTATTTTTGTATTGTAGTGCTTGTCAGCTCATGAAGCTCATGCTGTTTAGCTCACTTAGCATGCTTTGTGGGAAACCCTGAAGGAGGGGGAATACAAATAAAATATAAATATTACTATTAATGTATTATAGGAAGCTGATAGTGATGGCAATTCTGATCAAAAACTCAATTTTGAAGAGTTTTCTGCTCTTTTTCACAATCTCGCTAACAGGCCAGAACTAAAGAACCTCTTTACTCTGTAATAAGACACATACAACAACTGTGTCTGTTTGTGTACACTATTGTATTAACAGTTGTATTAGTGAATTTACTTTCAGTATAATCTTTAGCCTCTTATTAATTTCTTCCTAAATCTAGTTTGTATATACATTTACGTGTACATAAACTATTGCACTTTTTAATTCTCTCCCTTTTATGTATTTGACTAGTTATGCTTCATCCGATGAAGGGAGTTATATGACAATCCAAGATCTTACCTCTTTCTTAGTCAATGCGCAGAATATGAGTGAAGTCACTGATGATTATTGTCAGAGTATCATTGAGAGATTTGAGCCATCAGAGGAAGGGAAATCTAAACTATTGCTTAGCCTTGATGGTGAGTAATATTTAGTACAAATACATACATGTACATCGTGTACACGTATATGATCCTAATATAAATTAATGTACATGTATTTAGGTTTTACCCAGTACATGTTGAGTCCTGATAATGACGTGTTTAAGCGACAGCATAAAAGCGTTTATCAAGACATGACACAGCCATTATCTCATTATTTCATTGCCTCATCTCACAATACGTAAGTTTAATGATAATCAATAGACCTATATCATATAATTCTCTATCTCTGTTTCTCCTACAGTTATCTATTGGAAGATCAGTTAAGTGGTCCGTCATCTGTTGATGCTTATATCAAAGCTTTAAACAAAGGCTGCCGTTGTGTTGAATGTGAGTTATTATTATTACAGTCTTCCTCTAGTCTTCCTCTACATTAACTGCAATCTTTCCTCTTATAATACTAGCCCTAGTCTTTCCTCTAGTAGCATTATCATTATTATTTAAATTATTACTTTAATTTAATTTTATTGATATTTATTAGTGGATTGTTGGGACGGCGATGACAATGAGCCAATCATATATCATGGGCATACACTGACCTCCAAGATATTGTTTAAAGATGTTATAGTTGCAATCAAGGAGCATGCCTTTACTGCTTCACCGTGAGTCATTGATCAATTCATATGCCATGTATTAGTTTATATACCGTATAGGGGGTATATTTCCCGGGGAAAATATTTCACGAAAATCACCTTTTAACCTATTCACAAGGAAAATTTTTGCGTTTTTCTTCTACTGACCATTATTAGTATGGTGAAAAACAATTTTCATAGGTAAAAATTTTCACGAATTTTTTAAAACCGTGAAATTAGCGAAATTAAATCCCCGTGAAATATACCCCTTATACGGTAATATTACATGTACATGTGTGTATCATCTACATCATTTACATGTATAATTATTGTTAATTTACAGCATTTATTGTATTGATCAATGTTCTATAGTGTGTGATTATGCTGATTTTTTATAATAATAGGTATCCTGTTATTTTGTCCATTGAGAATCACTGTGGCATCAAGCAGCAGGCTGTAATGGCTGAGCATATGATTGACATATTTGGTGAAATGTTGCATAGAGATCAGAGGGATGAGGAAAGGGGTGTACTACCCTCCCCTGAAGAAATGAAATATAAAATATTGATTAAAGTATAATTTAAAGAGTAATTTAATTGTTATGACTTTTATCCCCCCCCTCCCTCTTTCTCCCTCTCTCTCCTTTTCAAAGGCCAAGAAGCTGCACCCAGATCAGGAGGATAAAAGTGATGGAGAAGGTGAAGTCACTGATGAAGATGAAGCTGCTGAAATAGACCCTGAGGTACATGTACTGTACATGTATATCCATTAGTAAACATAAATCAACAGTACACATGTATACACATTTAGAATATTGCTATGTGTATGATATGCATGTTTTAATTCCTATAGGATATAAAAAAGGCTCAATCATCAAGTGATAAAGGGGCTACTGCTGATCCTGTTGAACCCACTGGTGCTACTGGGAATGAGTTAACTGTTACAGGGCAGCCAGAGGCAAGGAGAGTGGTTGAAAGTAAGAAGAGATCCTTTAGGAGAAGGACTAACACTGCACCCAGTAATAATAAGGTATAAGATACATTATTTCCTAATATGTGCATGTAGGATTTTTTTATTTTGTTTTAGCCAACTGCTAAGCGAAAGTTGTCCAGTAAACTATCAAAATGTGTCAATTACGTTCAGTCGGTTCATTTTAAAGGATTTGATAGCACTCATGAAAGTAAGAGACAGGAATTAAAAGAACTCATTATTACCAAGATTTATTTATTTATTTATCTATGCAGTTCCATTCTTCCACATGTCTTCATTTGGTGAATCCAGTGCATTCAAATCTTCCGAAGAATCAGGAGCACATTTCCTCGAGTATAACAAGAAGCACTTGAGCCGAACCTATCCATCAGGAAGGAGGGTTGACTCCAGTAACTATGAACCCATTAATATGTGGAATGCTGGCTGCCAGATAGGTATAATGATGATAAAGTAAAGTATTTTATTATTATTTTTTGTTGTACAGTTGCCCTCAACTATCAAACTCCTGGTAAATCAATGGACTGGAATATGGGGAAATTTCAACAAAATGGAGGATCCGGTTACGTATTGAAACCTGAAATAATGAGAGAAGGTACACATGTGCATATAATTTAAAGCAATAATAATTAGTAATAATATTGTACTATTATTGTTAGATTTTGCTTATTTTGATCACATGGATAAAGCTGGTCCCAGTGGAATATCACCAAAAGTACAAACAACTTTCACTCTCGTATCTCTATCATAATCACCTCCATCACCTCTCCCCCCCTCTCTCTCTCTCTCTCTCTTTGTCTCAGGTTGTTACTATTTCAATCATCAGTGGACAGCAGCTCCCTAAGCCAGAGGGTGGATCCACTACAGGGGAGGTTATTGATCCATACGTACAGATACAGTTTGCTGGATTACTTAAAGACTGCGCTCAGTTTAAAACTAAAGTTATAAATGATAATGGTAATTACTGTCCTCAGTGTTTCCTGTATTATATAGTGTTGTGTTTTTTAGGTTTTAATCCAGTGTGGAACGAGACCTTCCAAAAGATTGTGTGCTTCCCTGAGTTAGCATTGATTAGGTTCAAAGTTATGGACTATGATCTATTGTCCAAGGACGATTTCATTGGACAGTTCACTCTACCACTAGATAGCATTGAGACAGGTAATTATTATTATAACTAATCATTGGTTCAGGTAGCTATAATTTTAGAAAAGCATAAATTGGCAAAGTTATTTCATTATTTTTTAAGTTTCAATGAATCCATCTAGCTTTTTTTGTAACGTAAATTTTTATTATTTTTTCTAGGATATCGTCATATTCATTTACGTAACAAAGATTGGGAATTACTTGACAATGCTACCCTATTTGTTCATGTAACTGTTGAAGATCTTGTTGCTCCTTCACCCAAATCAAAGGTACATGTATATTGTATTCTAATTAATACACACGTACATGTACATGTACTTGCATGTACTTGACTATTATTTATTTATTTACTTATTTATTCGTTTGCAGGAACGATTAAGAGTTACTGCTGTCAAGAAATCAAGACAGGTCAGTATTTATTATGATCTTTATTAATCTTCATGACTCTATTCATTTTATAGTACACTTTAATGAAGTACTGTCAATTCCCTCCTATTGATAATTTACTGAGGCCACTCAATTTAACGCTAAAGACTGGAACTGATCTTGTAGAGGACACTGCATTTGCTACTCTATTGTTTAAGGTCTGTGAATTTATCATTATGCTTGAATTATTGTAGTAATAATTAACATGTTTCTTTTTTCATTTCTCTTTTATTTTCATTGTATTTCATATACATGAAGGATGCATGTTGTAAAGCTAATCTATCAGAGTCCATTGAAGCAATGTTCCAGCAAGCTAAGTTGCACAATGTGAAACTGCATCTATTCAAAACTGAAGGGGAGAACTTTGCTTATCAAGTTTCACCTGTCAGTTCATCAAGATCGCCATCCTTGCATAGAATGCTACAAACATTTGACAGGGTAAATAATTTGTTTTAGCAAAATGAGTCTGATTTTTATTTCCACATAGCTTAATGCTCAAATTATAACGCTGCTCAATATATCACCATCAATTATTACTGAGGTAGCATATTGATGTACATACCTAACCTCAATTCTCTTTTCTTACCTTTTGTCTAGTTGGAAAGTGTTTTGGAAGAAATCCTCCAACAAAAAGTAAAAACTATCATTGATTACTATGTGGTATTAATAACGTTTATCTTTTTTAGGAAGAATTTAATAAATCTTTGTCTCCTCTGACCCCACCAAAAGTTCAGCAGGTTAGAATTCATTTATGAATCTTTCTGCATCAGACATAGAGTAATGTCCCCACCCCTTATTGTTGTCAAAATGAAAAGAAGAGAATTCTCCATTTTAATAATTTTTTCTAATACATGTTGTTATGTTATGTTTCAAGTTTGAGCTGATTCTGATAAAATTTAAATTCTTAATGAAGTTGCTTCAAAATTGAGCCAAAGTCCCTGTACTATTAGTAACGTGAAAAAAGGTGTTAAAAGGTGTAAAAAAAGGTGAAAAAAAGGTGAGAAAAAAAGTGTTAAAAAAGGTGTTTAAAAAGGTGTTTAAAAAGGTGTAAAAAAGGTGAGAAAAAAGGTGTTAAAAGGTGTTAAAAGGTGAGAAAAAAGTGTAAAAAAAAATGTGAAAAAGGTGTGAAAAAAGGTGTGAAAAAAGGTGTAAAAAAAGGTGAGAAAAAAGGTGAGAAAAAAGGTGTTAAAAAAAGAAAGAAAAAAGGTGTTAAAAGGTGTAAAAAAAGGTGAGAAAAAAGATGTTAAAAGGTGTTAAAAAAGGTAAAGAAAAAGATGTGAAAAAAGGTGATAAAAAAAAGTGAAAAAAAGGTGTTAAAAAGGAGTTAAAAAAGGTGTTAAAAAAGGTAAGAAAAAGGTGTTAAAAGGTGTGAAAAAAGGTGAGAAAAAAGGTGTTAAAAGGTGTGAAAAAAGGTGTTAAAAAGGTGAGGAAAAAGGTGTAAAAAA